ACCTTTATCTGCCAGGCACTGTGATAGGCTTTGGGCATGAATAGGTGAGCAGATAAGCAGAACTCAGTCCAGCAGGTAGGGGAGGCTGTTTTCACTGCTGAGGAAGAAAGATTCCTTCAGTTTACCCAAAGTATGGAGGATTTTTCTTGTAAGGACACTCCAAGATTAAAGAAGACTTGAATCCGTTACACTTCTGTGTCTCTTGGGAGCATAGGAACGAAAACAAATCTAGTGGAATATAGTTTGGCAACTGAAGAGATCTCTGGTTACACAAGCATGAAGATATTCATAGGAACATAAGACTCAGTGTTCCACATCAGTAATGTTGGGGAGAAAGTCAAACCTTACATAAATATTTCTGTCTTTTTCCTTGGGAATTCACTAAGATCTTAGGTTATATTCTCTTAAAAATGCTAGGATTTTACTCTGTTCTTAAATTGTATTGTTTCTCTAGGCATACAATATGTTTCCTATTTTTTCTTACTGTTCTAGTCTCTAGTTTTTACTTTCTCTGTGGTGTGTGTGTGTGTGTGTGTGTGTGTGTGTGTATGTGAATTCACCGAATATCCACAAAATAAAATCTGAAGGTGAAAACCAAGAGTCTGAGAAAATTGAATTTGACTTGTCGCATTTTTAAACACTTTTATCTGTTAACATTGTTTTGAGAATTTGTATTGCTGTTCATTTTATATATTTAAAAAGTGGTAATATTCATTTACAAGAAGTAAGCATCAGTCTCTTACATTTGAATAGGAATTTATAGCCGACAGGTACATCCAAATGTTTGGTTTTTCTTTTTTCCTTTTTTTTTTCAGCCAAAGCAGAAATCCCCCTCTTTTTTGTTTTTGAGATGGAGTCTCCATCTGTCGCCCAGACTGGAGTGCAGTGGCGCGATCTCTGCTCACTGCAACCTCCAACTCTTGGGTTAAAGCGATTCTCTTGCCTCAGTTTCCCGAGTAGCTGGGATTATAGGCGCCCACCACCGCGCCTGTCTAATATTTTTGTATTTTTAGTAGAGACGGGGTTTTGCCATGTTGGTCAGGCTGGTCTTGAACTTCTGACCTCAGGTGATCCACCCACCTCAGCCTCCCAAAGTGTTGGAATTATAGGCCTCAGCCACCATGCCCCGCCAGGTTTTTTTCTTCAGAAAAACCCCCTGAAAGAAAGAGAACAGATCTTACTCTCCATATATGATAAGGTGAGAATTTAAGTAAAGGTTACATGGTTCATCTATGCTATCGGAAAGCTACGTGGCCAGTATTAGAGCCCAAGGCTCCTCTGCCAGTTGGGTGGTCTGTCCATGCCCACTGCATCACTCCCTCCCTGCCAGTGATGGGAGAGGTCAGATGTTGGCAGTGCCCATCGTCACCTTCCTGCTCCCCTTCCCTGACTTAAACGCTCCTGAGAGAGGAGACCAGGCAGAGCTTGGCCAGATGTACTTTTCTTTATTTCCAGCAAGGCCTGCACCCTGAATCCCCCCAGCCTTCTTCTCTGTTTTGGTCATTGGACAAAAAACTTAGAAAAATGGTGAAGGTGACTGTTAACTTGCTGAAAGTTCGTACAGGAAACACTTGTGTTTCATCCCTGCAAGTGGAAATGGAGGGATTGGAGCACGAGAGATTGGATTTTTGGTGATTGTTCTCAAAACCCACTATTTACCTTATCTACTGCATACCACTTGCTTGGTACAGCCGTCTTCCAGCTGTCCAGTCTCATGCCCCATTTACTGTCAGGAAATGAAAATCATGGTCCTATAACCTGTCTACCCACAATTTAGAAATTGGTAGAATGTCTAGCAAAAATATCAAGGAGAAATAAAGTAAAATAATTTATAGCAAGTAAAATGTATTTCAGTAGGTATGTGCTTCAGTGTGTACTCAAGAAGACAATGCAATTAGATTCTCCTACCTTGATATAGAGTCACTATGAATATAAAAGCTGCACATGGAGTCTGATCAAAAAGCATTGTACTAGCAATCCAGATATCATAAGGGGCATTATAGCAGTCACATGGTTTTCTGAAATGATGAACATCTGTTAGTAAAATTCCAAAGAAAGCAAGAAAGAAAATACAAGACAGAACACACACACACACACACACACAAATTTGATTTATGTTGTCCTTATGTTAGAAAATGCGATGTGTATTAAAACTGCGTAAATGGCCGAGCACGGTGGCTCACGCCTGTAATCCCAACACTTTGGGAGGTTGAGGCAGGCAGATCACCTGAGGTCAGGGGTTCGAGAGCAGCCTTACCAACATGATGAGACCCTGTCTCATAAAAAAAAAAAAAATGATCTGGGCACGAAGGCACGTGCCTGTGGTCCCAGCATTCTGGAGGCTGAGGTGGAAGAATCTCGGGCCAATGAGTGTCCCGACTGCAGTGAGTGAGCTAGGATGACAACACTGCACTCCAGAATTTAACAGTCTCTCTCTCTCTCTCTCTTTAAAAAAAAAATAATAAATTATTAAAATTAAAAAACTGCATAAATGAATCATGTTTATATAAAGCGCTATTAGGATTTAGGCCCTGATGGTTATAAATGGACCTTTTTCCAATGTGAATGCTTGGTGGGATATGTTAAAAGTCATACAGGACCAAAGTTGTGGGATGTGCAGGACGGTTTGTTGTTGTGCAGGATTGTTGTGGCATTTGCCAGACAAAACCCAAGAGAGGGTGTCCTCTGAATTGATTACTGTGACAATCAAAATTACACCCACAAATTTAGAAAACATCTTCTAGAGAGTGATGCCACCTTTGCGGAAAACCTCTGCCCTAAATACTTCAGAAAGACACAGAAACCTAAGGACCCCAGGACAACAAAGACTTCCCGACCTTTCAAACTAGGACCTCACAATCCTGTGGCTTCATCATCTAGAGAGGCTGGAGAGGGCGGGAGGGCAGAAAATGTCTACTGTATTTTTGCCCCAAGGCTGAGAGAAGTTTTTAACCTTCGTCTTGCCTGTATCTGCCTGCACTCTGTTCTGCATTCCTGTGGTTGCATTTTTTTGCATTTTGTTTCCATTCAGCGTCCTTGTGGCTTGCTGGGGAGGCACTCTTTAGACTAAATTTCATAGTTGCGAAAAAGGGTTTTGAAAACTGATGGGCCTTTTGGGTATATGTGTGGTAAAATATACGTATCACAGTTTACCTGACGCAAGTTTTTAATGTAAGTAATTTGTGACTGTGCAAATATATGGCTAAAGTATTGTATATAAATAGTAAAAATTGTATGTCTTTTAGTCACTTTGGAGGATATAATTTTATACATTTTATTTTTTATAAAGTTAATCTTTAGTAATAATGAAGATCATGATGAAAGATAATATTCACCTCTTACTGTATGATATCAGGAATCAGTGTTTTGATGCAAGATAGTCATAAATTCAGATACTCCAGCTCGGATGCAGGGTGGTTGTGTGCTTTAAATCAAATTAATAAATTTCTATGAGGCTTACTGTAAAATGTACTTATCAGTAGTATGAAGATGCTGTGTTTCTTTTCTTTTTTTTTTTTTTTTTGAGACAGAGTTGTGCTCTGTCACCCTGGCTGGAGTCTAGTGGAGCAATCTTGGCTCACTGCAGCCTCCACTTCCTGGGTTCAAGTGATTCATCTGCCTCAGCCTCCTCAGCAATTTCAGTTATGTTTTCTAAGCAACACAAATCTTTTATAGTACTTGATATAATTGCCAGATTATTTTTTAAAGGTATTATATTTCTTTAAATGGTTCCCAGTGAAGTAGCTTCAGCTGTCTGTTAGTAGCTGGGTTTACAGGTGCCCACCACCTTGTCCGGCTAGTTTTTTAATTTTTTTTAATTTTTAGTAGAGACAGGGTTTCCCCATGTTGGCCCGGCTGGTCTCGAACTCCTGGCCTCAGGTGACCTGCCTGCCTTGGCCTCCCAAAGTGCTGGGATTACAGCTGGGAGCTACAGCACCAGGCCAAAGATGCTGGTATTTGATAGTATGATTGTAAGTGCATCAGTGCACTACACATCTGACATAGTTTCGTATAACTATATACAAAACTATGCATATAGTAATATGCATAGTTGTTCCTGTGCATACCTATTTTTCATGCAGTGCAGCCATAGTGCTGATAAAAATTTTGTCTTCTCTTTTTACTTGACCTAAGCATAAACAAATTTTTTCCATAGTATAAACAAATTTCATAATTACTCTTCTAAGTATTAAAGTAGACTCATGACGTTGTGTCACCAAAATATGCTGCATAGTACGTGATGTCCTTACTTTATATAAGATGAACCGGAAATGTACCTGCTTTTCTCGGGAAAGAAATGTTTTTAAAAACCTCAGTTCATGAGATAACTATGTCATCAAAACCACGAAGAAACAGAGCTGAGTTGAGTTGCAGGAGTGGGCAGATGGTAGGCTTGCCAGCTGAGTGGTGCGCACACCAGCCTGAGATTGCAGCCTTAAGTGGACAGATTTGCATGTTATGGACATTTGGATTGTACAAAAATCGTCAGAACTATAAATCTGAGACTTAAAGATGATTTCAACATACATGAGCAATTTCAGTTGTGTTTTCTAATTTTATCGTTTAAAAAAATAATGCTGCTGAATTGATTTATTCCTATATTGCTCTTTTCTTCACTAGTAGTACTTTGGGATAAATCTCTAGTAGATTTACTCTGTTAAGTGACACAAATCTTTCATGGTACTTGATATAATTGGCAGATGGTTTTCTAAAGGTATTGTATCCCGTTATATGGTTCCCAGTTAAGTAGCTTCAGCTGTCTATAACTGGGGATTTTTTTTTTTCTTTTAAAGTGCTAATAGGTAAAATACTGATTTTAATTTATATTTATTTGATTATTAGTGAATTTCAGCATTTAACTTTTGTGTATGACATTTTCTCTTATTTATTTATCTTTTTCTTTAGTTAAGTTATAAGATCATTTACCAATTTGAGCCTTTTCAGGGTTTTGGGAAAATTAGACTTTTAATCTAATCACGTTATTCTGCTTTTTCTTCTAGCTCCAGTTATAAACCGATTCACAAGGCGTGCCTCAGGTAAGTCTGATTATATTATGGATTTTGCTTACTAATAGTGATATATTTAAAATGATGATACTGGACTAGAAGGTACAAAGAGAATAATTGCTGTGTAGTAAACATTTATTTGTCAGTTATTTTTCTCAGAAAACACAACCATCTGATATAATCACAGTCTAGGAAGCAACTGAAAATGCCCTCTGAGTGGCTAAACTGAAAATCAGACTGTGTACTGAACTGGTGGACCTTTTAAAATGGAGACTCTTAGCCCAGGCTGTTATTCTTGCTCTTGATAGAAATACTACCTGCATGGTTGTCTGATTTAGCAGCCATAATCCAGAAGCAGTGATTTAGCAGATGGGTAAAGGATACCTTAGAAACAGTGATAAGTGAGTGTGTGTTGTCGTTTTAATAAGAGACACGAGAACTCTTAAAACGCAGATATAAGAACTTGTCATTATGGGGCCATTTAGAATAGGAGCAAATTGCCTTATGTTTGTTCGTGCCTCTGAGGCTATTGCTGGTTTAAATATACCACAGTAACCTAATGCAGTCAGAATGATAGGCCTTAGCCATTAACAAGGGCTTACATTAGGTTCAGTATACTGTGTACTATTTAAACTGCTGGGGAAGTATGAGATAGAATTAAGAACATTTCTATCCAAAATGGCTTAAGTAAAATGAGTTTGTGTATTGAGAGTTAAACTATTGTTTAGAAAATTCACCCTATTGTTTAGAAAATTCACCCTATGGAATAGCGTCTTCTCTGAGTAAGAGGATAAATGAAGTGAAGGTAATGTTTGATTTGAGAAAATTACTCTTTAAATATACCTGGAAATTTTTTGTTAAGAAACGCAAGATAAACCTTTGAAACAAATCATCTTTGAAGTTTATATAAATGAGTCATTTATTTCACAAAATTGCTGTATTTCCACTTGTGCTATAAATTTTATTTTTGATTTGTCAGCAGTTACTGGTATAATTTACTCTTGTTATGTAGTGACCAGATCTATAAGGATAATGTGCTATGTTGGAATAAAATGTATTTTATCATTCCAAGCTTTTTGTAATCTCAAGGTAAATGGTAAAAACTTTAAATGGTAAAAACAAAGTGTAGATTGTAATGCCTTTTGTTGAATGAGAGGTTGTGTTTATGCCAGTAGGGCATCAAATTTTATCCCAAAGAAGAACTATCAACTGTGATCATATTCTAGCATAGGTGTCCTTTATGAGCAGTGGTGGGAACAGGAAAGGAAGAAGAAGAGAGCATCAGTATTGTGATGCCTTGTTTTCATGAGGTGAAATTCTTTCAATAGAAACACAGTTAAGAGTCATAGAATAAATAATCGCCCTTTCTACCTCAAGCTGTATAACATGCGACATTTATTTGTGGGCACATTCCATTAGTATTTGTTGTACAACACATGTATCATTAATTGCTAGATCAGGGGCTCCAGGATATAGGTGAGTTTTGAAATGCCATTATTTTATACCCCACCCCCATGTGTATCCAGTACATTTTAGCAAGACCTGGCCAGAAATGTAGAGATAATGTAATGCCACACAGAAATACACATTAAAATCAAATGTTGTATTTATTCCCAGAATGACAGTTAATAAGAAATGTCAGTGAAAACAACAGGAAACAATTTGGTATAAATAAGCAGTATTTCTTTGATCATCAAAGAAAGTAAGTTCAGTAGTCAGGTTATATATAGCAGTAAGCTTTACAAGGAGTAAAATTGTTATCCCAATAATATAATATGCTGAAAAACATTAGGAGAATGAGTCTTGACATGAATTCAAAAGAAAAGAGAACTAACTTATGGAGTATCACTGATAGATCAAGCACTGTGCTAAGACTAATGCTTAGCGTTAGTCTTTCAGGCAAGGAAAATAAAATTATTCAATACTTTAGATTAAAAAAACAGCAGTATAAGAAAAAATGGAAGGGGATCTATTTAATCATCTACTCGTCTGTGTTTTATTTGGGACTTTCTTATTTCTTCGTTTGTTTGTTTTTTTGAGATGGAGTTTTGCTATTGTTGCCCAGGCTAGAATACAATGGCATAATCTTGGCTCACCACAACCTCACCTTCCTGGATTCAAGGGATTCTCCTGCCTCAGCCTCCCAGGTAGCTGGGATTACTGCTACTACACACATGTACCACCACACTCAGCTAATTTTGTGCTTTTAGTGGAAACAGGGTTTCTCCATGTTGGTCAGGCTGGTCTCAAACTCCTGACCTCAGGCAATCCACCTGCCTCAGCCTCCCAAATTTCTGGCATTACAGATGTGAGCCAGTGCACCTGGCCCAGACTTTCTTATTACTTAAAAAAGTTTGTTTAATGCTTTTTTGGCAAAGAATATAGAAAGAGTCTAAAGACATCCCAAGGTGGAAATGCCACAGTTTTTTTGCTAATTTAATTTAGTGGCTAACATGAGGTTTAGTAGTAGAGATATACATGAACTTTTTAAAAAAGTAACATTTCCTAAAAATAAAAAAGAAATGGTGATTTTTCTCAAAATGCAGTCAATTATATTTGATAATTAAAAATATTTCTTATGATACTTTTTCTGATTTTTATTTCAGAAATACTTTTTATTTTCATTACTTGTAAAATTTTAATGTAAAAAATGTAATTTAGGGGAAGAAAGTAAGTCAGGTAAAATCAATTAGAAGTCTGTACAACATATGAGTTTGTTTCTTATTCATCTATTTTTAAAGTTACAATAGTAATTCTAGATGTATATATTACAAAAATAAATACAGAATGTGTAGTGCTAGGTGTTCAGTCATTGTCGATTGAAAATAAAAAATTACTATGAGTCATAATTAATAGCTCATTAACTGACTTCCCTAAATCTTTGAGTTTTTGGCTTTTGATATTCATACTGCAACTATCAAACATAAATATTTCAAACCTGAATAAATGAAATATTTCCTCTTTATATACCTTTTTATTTTGTTATGAAGATGAGAGGAATGTTTATACTTAACAAATACATTATTTAGGATTAGTTTTAATCTTTTTAGTAACATTGTTTATGCCATAGTCTCTTGTCTTCTTCATGTGTTCAGTGCTGGCCCACAAACCTGTCAGTTTTTATTTTTGTAAGCAAAAGGAATCAGTTTCACTCAGGATTTTCAAACAGAATTCCTAGAATCTTAAGAGTTTGTAGAGGCTTCAGGGTTGTGTAAGCCAGCTTACTACTTGGTACAGGAGTGGAAGGGATGTAGTGTTGTAGTGTAGAGCATGACTAATGGAGAGAAGCGTAAATAGGCAGCAGAAGAATAGGACCCACCCGTATTGATTAGATTGGATAAGTTCCAGAAAACTGTCATATATCTTCTGAAACCCAGATATATCTCTGATACTATCCTGACAGCACCCCATAACCTTATTTATTTATTTATTTATTTATTTTTTATTTTTTTTTTGAGACGGAGTTCCGCTCTTGTTACCCAGGCTGGAGTGCAATGGCGCGATCTCGGCTCACCGCAACCTCCACCTCCTGGGTTCAGGCAATTCTCCTGCCTCAGCCTCCTGAGTAGCTGGGATTACAGGCACGCACCACCATGCCCAGCTAATTTTTTGTATTTTTAGTAGAGACGGGGTTTCACCATGTTGACCAGGATGGTCTCGATCTCTCGACCTCGTGATCCACCCGCCTCGGCCTCCCAAAGTGCTGGGATTACAGGCTTGAGCCACCGCGCCCGGCCCCATAACCTTATTTTTAAACAGTACCTCATAGTCCCATTTTTAAACAAAAGAAAAAGAAATACTGCTTTTGGGCTCCTAAAATGCTATTCAACTCTTAATAATCAGTCCCTTCTTATCAGTACATCCTTAATACAGAGAGGCCTGGTTTGGTGCCTCACACCTGTAATCCCAGCACTTTGGGAGGTCGAGGTGGGTGGATCAGGAGAGGTCAGGAGTTCAAGACCATCCTGGTCAGCTTGGTGAAACCAGAATCTTTATCAAAAAATACAAAAATTAAATTAGTTGGGCGTGGTGGCGCCTGCCTGTAGTCCCACTTACTTGGGAGGCTAAGGCAAGATATTTGCTTGAACCTGGGAGGTGGAGGTTACAGTGAGCTGAGATCAGTCCAACCTGGGCAACAGAGTGAGACCCTGTCTCTGAAAATAAAATAAAAATAACAGAGAAATCATTATCCAGAACCCATTTTATTTTATTTGTTTTTGAGACGGAGTCTCGCTCTGTTGCCCAGGCTGGAATGCAGTGGCCCCATTTTGGCTCACTGCAACCTCTGCCTCCTGAGTTCACGCAGTTCTCCTGCCTCAGCCTCTTGAGTATCTGGGACTACACCATGCCCAGCTAATTTTTTTTTTTTTTTTTTTTTTTTTTTTTTTTTTCTTTTTCTGAGATGGAGTTTCGCTCTTGTTACCCAGGCTGGAGTGCAATGGCGCGGTCTCGGCTCACCGCAACCTCCGCCTCCTGGGTTCAGGCAATTCTCCTGCCTCAGCCTCCCGAGTAGCTGGGATTACAGGCACGCGCCACCATGCCCAGCTAATTTTTTGTATTTTTAGTAGAGACGGGGTTTCACCACGTTGACCAGGATGGTCTCGATCTCTTGACCTCGTGATCCACCCGCCTCGGCCTCCCAAAGTGCTGGGATTACAGGCTTGAGCCACCGCGCCCGGCTAATTTTTATATTTTTAGTAGAGACAGGGTTTCGTCATGTTGGCCAGGCTGGTCTTGGAACTCCTGACCTCAGGTGATCTATCCGCCTCGGCCTCCCAAAGTGCTGGGATTACAGGCATGAGCCACTGCACCTGGCCACATAATCCATTTTATAATATGAGCCTTTAGTTTTTTTGGAAGATTATTCTTTTTGGTGGAAAATGGAAATAATATGTAATTTGCTGTTGTGAATATTAAAAATTAGTGGTGGTGGCTGAACACTGTGGCTCACACCTATAATTTTGGCACTTTGGGAGGATGAAGCCTAGGATTTAAAAAACGTTAGTTCTCATCTCTCTTCTCATGAACGT